GGATGTGAATATTCTGTGTTCTTTCATGTGAATTATGAGGTTTGGTTATCTTATTTCTAAATCTATGAACAATTGGGAGGTTCATAGATTTGGAAATGTGGCTTTTCATCACATAGTTGAGTGATGCAGCAAAAGACACTGCATTGAAAGATCCATTGACGTGATAAAACCAGTTGGCTCTAATGCAATTAAATTGTCAGATTATTGAAGCACGTTGTGTCACTTTATGGAGAGCACGTTAGCTAGATTTTAAAATTTCATTAGAATAAGTTAAGTCAATTTTAATTTTCCATATATTTCTAGTAGTTGAAATGATTGTATAAGGTTATGAGTACTTTAAAGTTGGACTATTATTAAAATTGCAGGGATGCTGACTATACGATTCATGGATTTGAAGTCTGAGATATATGGAAAAAAACTACATAGAGAAATGACAGGAAAACTAGTATGAGGTCCTCAAACTTTTTTAGTTGTGATGAGTCTAAAATGCTTTTCATTTAAAATAATGAAAGCTTGTATAGTATTGAGAGCATTTGTAGTGGTGCTTATAAACCTTTTTAAAGGGTCCTCCACACTTTTTTAATATTCTGATATGGTTAGGCTTTGTGTCCACACCCAAATCTCCTCTTGAATTGTAATCCCTGGGAGGTAATTGGATCATAGGGATAGTTTCCCCCATGCTGTTCTTGTGATAGTGAATTCTCCCAAGATCTGATGGCTTTATAAGGCAGTGTGCTTGTTCTTACTCACTCTCTCTCACCTGCTGCCATGTAAAACGTGCTTGTTTCCCTTCTGCCATGATTGTAAGTTTCCTGAGGCCTTTCCAACCATGCAGAACTGTGAGTCAATTAAATCTCTTTTCTTATAAATTAGCCACTCTTGGTTATTTCTTTATAGCACTGTGAAAATGGACTAACAGAGAATTGGTACCAGGTGGTGGGCACTGCTGTAAAGATACCCAGAAATGTGGAAGTGACTTTGAAACTGGGTAACAGGCAGAGGTTGGAACAGTTTGGAGAGCTCAGAAGAAGAAAGGAAGATGTGGAAAAGTTTGGAACTTCCTAGAGACTTGTTTAATGATTTTGTGATATGGGCAAAGAAGTCCAAGCCATGGTGGTCTCATTTAAAGAAGAGTAAAGGTGACTCTTGCTATGCTTTAGCAAAGAAACTGGCTGTGTTTTGCCCCTGCCCTAGAGATTTACGGAGCTTTGAACTTGAGAGAAATGATCTGAAATTGCAGCAGATGTTTAAAAGGGAAGCAGAGTGTAAAAGTTTGGAAAATTTGCAGACTTTTCATGGAGTAGGAAAGAAACCTATTTTCTGGGGATGGATTCAAGCCAGCTGCAGAAATTTGCTTAGGAGGAATCAAATATCAATTGCCAAGACAATGGGTAAAATGTCCCCAGGGCATGTCAGATCTTGGTGGCAGCTCCTCCTATCACAGGCCTGGAGGCTTAGGAGAGAAAAATGGTTTCCTGGGATGGTCCCAGGACCCTGCTGCTGTATGCAGCCTTGGTATCACACAATCCTTACAGGGTGTTGCTTCGCCAGCTGGAAACCTCTGTGGCAAGTGTTGCCTTTGCCCAAGTTTTGCTCAGGTCCACTGGGCTTGTCCTGCCCACTTGGCCTGGCAGTCTGCACTTGGCTTTCGCTACTGGCCTGGATCCCACACCTGCCAAGGGGGAGCCAAGTGCAGAGCAGCAAGGTGTGCATGAACGAGTGAGCATGGGCTACAGTGTGCACAGCCAGGCATGCTGGATGTGGTGGGGCAGGCAGCTCCAGGTGCCGGCATTGGTGCTGGCTTCTTGCTGTGGCTGGACCAAGTATACTGCAAGCAGCTTCCACTACAGGCACTGTAGAATATGGTGGCACCCAGAAACTTGGAGACACCAGGAACTGCAGAGCCACCAAGAGGGTGTCACAGACCTGGCTTGGGGAGCTCTTAAGACCAGGCTCCCTGGAGGACTGCAGTTCTTCTCTCCTCTCTTGTCTCCTTCTTGTCACCTATAACATGGCAGGCAGGAGGGCGTATTTTAGTCCTGTTTGTGTTACAGCTTGTTTAGTCCTGCTATTTGGTAGGTTCAGAGTTCCTGTACTGTGTCCAGGAAGAATGAGCTACATGGACAACTGGAGGGTGAACAAGGTGAAGACATGCTTTATTGAGCAAAAGTATAGCTCTGAGGAGACCTGTAGTGGGTAGCTGCTTTCTGCAGGCAGTTCCTCCCAATGAGTGCAGCTCTCAGCAGGGAGGAGACTTGGAGTGGGATCCCCTCTCTGCAGGTAGGTCATTTGTCAAGTGTGTAGCCCTCAGTGGAGAGAGAACCCAGAGTGGGTAAGTCCTATCTACAGGCAGGTCATCTTGTCATCTGGCGTAGTCTGGTTGAGTCTGCAGTTTTTATGCACTTCAGAGGGGAGGAATTGTGTGCTGATTGATCCATGGGTGGCCATAGGTGGGCCCGGAAAATTCATTCTAAGTTCTTACTCTAGTCAGTGGGACTGGCAGCCCGGCCCCTAGTCTTCAGGCCTTCCCTGGCTTGAAGGTGGGGTTTTAGCAGGGACATGCCCCTTTCCTCTCAGGAGCCTGTCTGCCTCCCACTGCTGTTCATGGTGCCCAGGCTGTTTTAGCTGAGGGATGCCTGTAGTATCATGTTGAGCTGCCCTCAACCCTGCCCTTGGCCTCCCTCCTGTGCTAATCAGCACCTAAAGTCCAGAGGGGCTGAGGTGGCAGGGGGCTGGTGTGTCAGCATTGCTCTGAGAACACACACACCTGGCCAGGTTGTGATAGTGTCCAGGCTCAGCCACAGCTTTTCTCCAAAATCAGAGTGGGCACTGGGATTGGGGAGAGGCCAAGCAGCAGGAGCAGGCACTTCTGAGCCTGCAGGGGGAGAGGGGCTTCCTGGGCCTCCAAGAGCATAGGAAAGTCCTGGTCCAGAGCTGAAGCTGGGTGGCTGCAATTGTACTCAGGAGCACAGGGCTCCCTCCCCACCAACTTGGAAAGGGGCAGGGCTCCCGGCTGTTCCTGGCTCCTGCTGGCTCTGCAGAGCAAGCAGGTCCAGCCGTGCCTTCCCCACTGCAGCCAGTATCTTTGCAGTAGCTGCTTCATGTGGGCTGCAGCTGCCATCACTGGGACTTGGGTCCTGTGTCCCAGCTATTCCAGTACCAGCTGTGGCTGAAAGAGTTCAGACTGTTGCTTTAGAGGGTGTAAGCCTAAAGTCTTGGTGGCTTATACATGGTGTTGGGCCTACTGGTACACAAAAGTCAAGAATTGAGGTTTGGAAACCACTGTCTAGATTTTAGAGGATGTATGGAAACAACTGGATGTCCAGGCAGAAGTCTGCTGCAGGGTTGGAGCTCTCATAGAGAACTTCTGCTAGAGCTGTGCAAAGGGGAAATGTGGGGTTTAAGCTGCCACACAGTCTCCACTGGGGCACTGCCTAGTGGAGCTCTGAGAAGAGGGCCACTGTCTTCCAGACCCCAGAATAATATACCCACTCACAGCTTTCACCATGCACCTGGAAAACCTGCAGACACTCAATGCCAGCCATGAAAACAGCTGTCATGGGGGGGGTCATACCCTACAAAGCCACAGATGTGGAGCTGCCCAGGGCTGTGGGAGCCCACCCTTTGGATCAGTGTACCATGGATGAGAGACATACAGAGTCAAAGGAGATCACCTTGGAGCTTCATGACTTAATAACCACCCTTTTGGGTTTCAGACTTTCATAGGACCTGTAGCCACTTGGTTTTAGTCAATTTCTCCCATTTTGAATGGGAACATTTATCCAATGCCTGTTTTCCCTACTGTATCTTGGAAGTAACTAACTTGCTTTTGATTCTCCAGGCTCCTAGGCAGAGGGGATTTGCCTTGTCTCATATGAGACTTTGGAGTTGGACTTTTGAGTTGATGCTGAAATAAGTTAAGACTTTGGGGGACTGTTGGGAAGGCATGATTGGTTTTGAAATGTGAGGACATGAGGTTTGGGGGGGCCAGGACTAGAATGATATGGTTAGGCTCAAATCTCATCTTGAATTGTAATCCCAAGGTGTTGAGGGAGAGACCTGGTGAAAGGCAGTCTCATTGTGGGGGTGGATTTTCCCCATGCTGTTCTTGTAATAATAAAGGCTCAGAAGATATGATGGTTTTATAAGGCAGTTTCCCTGCTCTTGCTCATTCTCTCTCTCACCTGCCACCACATAAGACATACCTGCTTTCTCTTCTGCCATGATTGTAAGTTTCCTGAGGCCTCCCAAACCATGTGGAACTGTGAGTCAGTTAAATTTCTTTTCTTTATAAATTACCCAGTCTCAGCTATTTCTTTATAGGAGTGTGAAAATAGACTAATACATATTCATAAAGTGCTTTTAAGATAATTGCTTTGATATACAGCATGAGAACCTTGGGCATTTTAGCTGCATTACAGTTGCAGCATATGAAAAATGGTCACATTTAATGTAGAAAATTGCTGATAATTCAGCTTGTAAATAGATACCAGCTGGGGTTCCATGAACATACTGACTCACCTAGTGTTTAATTGCTCTTGTTATTTGCCAGTCACAACATTAATTCACTAAATAGGAATATAGTCTTACTCTTAGTGCTAAATCCTAAAAGTAGATCACATAAAAAATAATTTGAATTTTTTTTAATGTGATCTACTTTTAGGATTTACCTGAAGTCCTAAATCAGTGCACTGGTGATGGAGATTCGAATGATGGCTTTATAATTTTTGATAGAATATCATGGTCCCCTAATATTTTATGTAATTTTTCTCTTTTCTTTTTTGCCTTACACTGTCTCATGTCCCTTAAATTCTGGATTATGGGTGTTGAGGGTGGTTGATGGTATTAAATTTCATTGGGAAAAAGAAATTTAAAATTAAATTATTTTCTTAATTCTTTTTAGAAAAGTAAACACATGTACTTATGTAAGAGGTATAACAATGTTAATATATTCACCCATGAAGAGCTTTTAACTTGGATTCTTTTCCTTTCAATTTAAGGTTACCATTAAGAATATTGAAAGGGAGCTCATTTGCCCAGCATGCAAGGAGCTGTTTACCCACCCATTGATTCTCCCTTGCCAACATAGTATCTGTCATAAATGTGTAAAAGAACTCCTGCTGACTCTTGATGATTCATTCAATGACGTGGGATCAGACAACTCCAATCAAAGCAGTCCTCGACTTCGGCTCCCTTCCCCTAGCATGGATAAAATTGACCGAATTAACAGACCAGGTATATGTTAGAACTGTGGGCTGGGTGGGGGGAAGCTTATTGATATATGTTCAGTGGTAACTGGAGGAGAAATTATTTTTGTCATCTTGAGGGCTAATTTTTCCAGGTAAATAAATTAAAACTATAGTTATAAAGAGTTCTCCCCCACTGTTAAAATGTCAAAATGAACTCGTCTTTTGATACATACTTAAAGTAGATACTGGATATTGAACACTAACTTTGTGTTAAACTCCTTATTAACTCTGTTTGTATTTAGGAGTTATTCTCTGTGATGTCCTTGATACACAAAGTAATGGACTACTGAAGTACTAACTAGGAAAACATGTATGGTAATAGGTAAATAAGTACTGCAGAGTTAAGGAGTAAGACTGCCTAATGGCTAGTCCTAGATAACTTTTTAGGGGAATTATTTTTTTGTCATTTTTCCCCATCTGGTCCCATCTGAGGGTTTTATTTTCTTCATCTCTTGTCCTTTTTTATTTTTTATTTTTATTTTTATTTATTTAGTTAGTTTTTCTTTTTTTCTTTTTTTTTTCCTTGCATACAATAAGCAAGCTTCACCAGGAGTTGCAGCCAGACATGGGTCAGGCTTGCTATTAATTTTTATTTTTGAGACAGTGACTTTCCCTGTCTCTCAGCTGAAGTGCAGTGCCACAATACTGGCCCACTGCAGCCTCCCTGTCCTGGGCTCAAGTGCTCCTCCTACCTCAGCCTCCTGAGAAGCTGGGACTACAAGCAGGTGCCACCATGCCCAGCTAACCCAGTTAATTTTTGTATGTTTTTTGTTTCACCGTGTTGCCCAGGCTGGTCTCAAACCCCTGGGCTCAAGCAGTCTGCCCACCTTGGCCCCCTAAAGTGCTGGGATTACAGGCATGAGCCATTGTGTTCAGCCTCTCCATCCATTTTTGTCTATTTTTAAAAGAAGGATTTTGAACATCATAAATAATAGAATTCTGTAGTGATGTATAGAAAATGAAATTGATGTACAGCACATATGTCTTTTATTACATGGCCACTGTTTAAATTGTTTCTTATTGGGATAGGTTTACTTTTTCTTCTGGTCAGCCACTGCAGGATTAATGTAGATCAAAATTAATTTGAAATCATTGGAGACACTGAAATTCAGAGCCAAATGCTAGTACAGAAGTCAGCTGCAAGGACCAAAGTGAGAGGAAATAGCAGTCTCATGTTAGGCATGTCCTTCATGGAGGAAAGTCAGTGGCAGCCATAAGTATCAGACTTCAGAGCAGCTCTTCCCATTTTGGGCTTTGAGGTTTCAAGTTTAATCCTTTTGTCCACTTTTGTCAGTTTCTCCCTCTTAAAGTATAGGAGTAACTTTTTAATCTTGTGAAAAAAAAACCTTTTCAGAAAAGACTAAGTTATATTTTGGAAAATATTATCTTCTTTTGGTCTCTTTGTGATACGGAGTCTCCTTGGGTGACATTTACGTGTGCCCCGTCAGAGAGTGGAGAATAGTAGATTTGTTTTAAGGGTGATATGCTGTTTTGAAAACATTTTTTTTTAATGGCAGTCACTAGTTACGTGGATGATATTTTGCACATATAGAAATTGTATATACGAAAAAATGAGCAGCATCACATAAGGCAAACTGAGAGAGTGCAGAGAGTATGATATTATAAAGGGTCATGATCATTGCAAAGTCATCACCTTTATGTTTCCTTCCTTGCTACCAATCTGGTGCACTGAGGAGGGAAAGAAAAACAGCATCAGCTTGAAATCTATCCTACCAGATAAAACTTGATATTCTGTTGATAGATCTTCATTGGCTAATTGGGAACCCCTGCTTGATCGACCAAAGGAAACTTCCTTTTTGTATATTAATATTTGGTACAATTAAATAAAATTTTAGTTATGTACTAGTATTTCTACTTATAATTAGATTGCATTTACATACATATTTCATGAAATTCTGCAGGCTTTTAGTGTTAAGATTTGGCTAGTTTTTTATGTGATTCATATGAAGAACTAGATGAATGATTTTCTGTTTCCTGAAATTTACCTAGCATGGTACTCTGTAGGTGCTTAATAAATATTTGTTGAATGTATGCTGAATGACAAACATACTACCAGATTTATATAGAGCATGCTACAATGGCTTATATTCAATAGTAATGGCATTTGTCTTTTGGAATATGAGTTCCATTCCACCATCATTTCACTGTCTAGATAAGAAATAGAATTACTGAGATGTTTCTCCCTCTTCTTTAGGAAGAACCCTATGAAGTTAGATTATGTCCTGAGGGGGGAAATTTAGAATGGTGGAATTTGAAATTTTTTTCTGTAAAGAACAGTTACAGGAGAGGAGAAGGGAAGACTGCAGAATATGATAGCTTTCTTATGAATAGATGGAGTATGCTGAGTATCTCTAGCAGGTTCCAGGTCAATGAGTAGATAGAATAGGAAAGCAGATTTAACTTAGCATGAAAGAAGACACCCCACCACCCCCACTAAGACTGTCAAGAAACGAAATGGGCTAAGTATGTCAGACTCCTGCTACTAAAAGTGTTTACATCAGGTGTCAAATTTAGATGCTGCAGGGCCAAACAGGTGCATTAATGAAGAGAGCCCTAGGCATAATAAATATAGGATTCTCCTTCATTTTAGTTCTTTGCTATAAATATAGAGACTATAAATTTTTTATTTTCCCATTAGTTCAACTACTATAAGAAAACCATCAGCCCAAAGTGACAGCAGCCAGTTGATTTTAGGACTCCCTGTTGGAGAAGCAGGGTGTGGTTTGAGACTGTGGAAACTAAAACGGATGCCTCGTTAAAGGTGGCAGTCATCACGTGGCACTACCAGGGTTGAAAATGCCAGATTGTCAGATTTATTGGTATTTCACAAAAGCTTGATAGTGGCTTCCATGTGAATTCTGTTTTTTAAATATTTTCAACTCAGATTATTTAAAAATACCACACTAGCTTAACAGGGCAGGACAGCCAAAACATACATTTGGCTCTGACCCATGCAGCTTTTGGGCCATCAGTATTTACAGACTTTTTTTAAAACAGTGGGTGGCTACTGTCTGCAATATCATGGACGGTGTTTCTGCTATGGGTGATAGGTTGGGCCAGTTGTTCTTCATGTGTCATATCTCCATCACTGAAGTTTTATGCCTTATTAAATACCAGTGGCATTCATTCATTCAACAAATATTTGAGTACCTGCTATTTACCAGATATGGCTAAATGCTTAAGAGCAATGAACAAGATAGGCCCACCTTTCTTTTTTTTTTAAAAAGACACATAATCCTTAGCATTGTACAAAGCTTTATAACAGATGTAATTACGATAGCATAGTCTTTTATCAAGAACACATACAGAGCAAGTTAGTAGTTAAAGAGAGTACCTAGAGGGTGAGAATGCTGCAAGTGTGAAAATCATTCCCGGAGGTTTTAATGCAAATTTTAGGATTGTCCTTTACATGATCACCAGTTTTAAATCAGTAGAAGTCATTGCATTACAAATGTGATGTTACTTGCCTTCTATTTATTGGACATTTGCCTATAAATTCTTTTAGTAGACAAATGAGTAATAGTCCTTTTTTACTGACAGCTTTCTTTATACATTTTTATCATTTAGACATGGTCTCACTGTGTTACCTAAGCTGGAGCGCAATGGCTTGATCATAGCTCACTGCAACCTCTAACTCTGAGGCTCCAGTGATCCTCATGCCTCAGCCTCCTGAATACCTGGGACTTCAGGTGCATGCCACTCACTTGCACACTGCTACTTTATTTAAAATTTTTTGTAGAGATGAGGGTCTCACTTTGTTGCCTAGGCTGATTTCAGACCTCTCTTCAAGCAGTCTTTGTGCCTTGGCCTTCCAAAGTGCTGGGATTACAGGCGTTAGCCACTGCATCCAGTCTGGTTTTGCCACTGGTCTAATAAAGGGATTAATTAAACCTGGATTGTCCAGTATGTTAGCTACATGTGGCTATTGAGTGCCTGAAATGTGGCTAGTCTGAATTGAGATATGCTGTGAGTTAAAATTCACACTTAGTATAAAAAGGACTGTGAAAATTTTTATAAAAATTTAAAAATTAGCAATGTGCGAGTGAGTGGCATGCACTTGTAGTCCCAGGTACTCAGGCGGCTGAGGCAGGAGAATCACTTGAGCCTCAGAGTTAGAGGTTGCAGTGAGCTAACTCTGCAAGAAATCTATTTATTTCTTTAATAGTTGTTATATTGTTTACTTTTTGAAATCATAGTATTTTGGATATAGTGGGTTAAATAACATGTTACTAAAATGAATTTCAGTTGTTTTTTAAATATGGCTACTGGAAAATTTAAACTTACATATATTATAGTTTTGGCTCATATATTTCTTTTGGATAATGTTGCATTATATTTTTGACAGTTTTTTAAAAGGGTACCTTGAAAGGGGAGTAAGATTTGTATGCATAACACAACAGCATATTATGTATAAATAAAAGCCATATTACTGTATACTTTTGATCATATATATATAAACTCTTGTCCCATTTTGTATTTTCCCCATATCTAAACTGAATATATTCAGTTTTACTATTTTTTTTTTTTTTGACAGTTTTTAGGTCAGTAAAAAGTCAAACAAAAGATGTTTGCTTTTACTTTGTAACAGTTACTGTAAGTATGATTGTTTAACAATCCAAATCTATATAGGACAAAGTATAGTCTCTTAAGTGCTGCACCAATAATGATTCTAATTCTAATAAGGTTGCTTGATGGATGTTTTATATTACTGGCTTCATAAATACCATGTGTACCAGGAAAAACACATTTTTTCTGTTAATTCAATAATTGTATTATTTGCAGGGCACTGTTACTGCTTTATCTTTTGTTAACAAGTTGTGAATCTTCTCTTTGAAATTAAATTCTAAATCCGGCTTTCTGTTCATTGTTCACAGCATCACAACGGCGATCTGTGGGGTGGAGAGGTAGAAAATGTTTTATTGCTTTTGTGGCCGCAGGCAGTATAGTGTTTGATTTAAATTAAAT